AATAATTGTAAAGTCTGGTTTTATTGATGCAAATTGTTCAAGGGGGGTACTTAAAACATGGACGCATAAAATGAGTACACCAATTTTTGTGGGAAAACTTTTTGTCAGACAACAAAGAATGAGAAAACGTGTTTTTTTGGATTTAACCGAAAGTGTTGACAGGAACGAAAAAAACTTGCCATACGAGATTTTTTGGTATTTATAGGACCTCCTAATGAGACCATACGTAAAAAGATCTGACTAATAGCAAAAGTGTTATGGCCGAAAAACGAGGTAAAATGCAGGTTTTGGCACTTGTTGCTAATGCGACGATAATTTCACGCAACTACTTGAAATTCTTCAAATCCGCAGGATTCATACTTCTAAATAACAAAACAAAATTGAAGTATATTGGTCAAGTAGTTTTTTGAGAATTTCTAATTGTTTATACCAAAACACCTGTCTTTTAGCGATCACTACTAGCTTATTGGGCAATATAATGGGTTCGTTCAAAGAGCATTTAATAGCAAAATAGACGTATTACCTCGCCGATATAAATCACAAACCATTCCGAAAGATAATGTTATTTTCATGCGAAAAACAAAGGTTGCGTTGTTTTCTTCTAAACAAATTCAAACATTTCGTATTGTGAGTAATTGAGCAAATGCGCTACAATATCGAAAACATACGTTACTCTTCACATTTTAAAACAAAGCGGATGTGGTCTATCATCTTTTTTTGTTTGTAAATTACTCAAAAATACGAAATGTTTGAATTTGTGTAGAAGAAAGAAAAACGTAACCCATCCTTTCGCATAAAAATAACATTTATCTTCCGGTATGGTTTGCGATTCATATCGGCAAGCTATAAATAATATTTGAGCTAACCCTGTAATATTGCTCAATAAGCTGGTAGTCATGGCCGGAATACAGATGTTTGGGACAAACAATTGGAAACTCTCAAAAACTACAGGGTGGGCTAGAAGAAGCTGACCTATCTTAAACTTTAATAACTTTTTTATTTATTAATATTTTTAATGTAGTTTTACAAAAATAAAATATATTTATTGGAGTTTTTTTCGTATTAAGTATGAAAAATAATGTCGCGTAAGTGACGGTCATTTCTCTTTCACAACAACATTCTTTTCCAAGACATTGTACATAACTGCCTCCAATGTTTCCCCATTTATGGCTCGAATTTCCTTTATTTATTATTATATTATTATTATATTATTCTTTCAAATATCCCCATAGATAAGAATCTGGCGCGGTTGAATCAGTGGAACGTGAGGGATAATCAATTGCCGACCTTTTTCAAATCAGACGTTCTCCAAAGAAGCCTCTTAGCGATGCCATTGTGGCTCCAGCTGTATGAGCTGTGGCTCCATCCTGTTGGAATCACGTATCAGGTCTATTTTCAAGCGGTGGAATCAATAAAATTTTCATGCATAGCTCTATACCTCTCGCCAGTAACAGTCCACCGCAGTTCCATCGTCATTTTGAAAGGAGTAAGGCCCAATAATAACCTGGGTGGGAACACCACACCAAACCGTACATTTAATGGGAGTAATTCTCTCTTGTGTGGCCTTGGATTTTGCCTATTCTTGCACAAAACCATTCAGATGAAAATGCGCATCATCACTCATTATTAGACGATTTAAAAAATTGCCTTCCTCTCAAACCAATTGCTGAAAATGAATGGCATAATTAAGTCGTTGTGCATAATCTTGTGGTCGAAAGTGCTGAACCGTTTCAATTTTGTAAGGAAACATCCGCAAATGTTTCAAAATTCTTCTGAGGGATGTCCTGGAGAGGCCTAATTGAGTTGACCTTCTGGTCGATGTTTCGGGGTCCTCCTGAACAGTGCCAAAACCTGCAGTTTGGTTCGGTTTTCAGCCATAGATTTTTTGCTACTAGTCGGATCTTTTAACGTGAGGTCTCATTTTGTAGGGCTCATAAATACCTAAAAAATATATGAAGAGTTTTGTCGTTCCTGCCAACACTTTCGATAGAGTCCCAAAAAACACGTTTTCTCTTTCTTTGTCGTCGAATAAAAAGTTTCCCCATACAAATTGGTGTACCCATTTTATGCGTCCATGTCTTGAATAGCCTCTTGAACAACTTGCAGCAATAAAACCAGACTTTACAATTATTTCGCAAACCAGCGGTGTTTTCGTCTAATATGATTCGACTAGTACATAATGGGTGAGATCAATAGTAGATGTCTCTAGCGATAAGGTACTAGATCAATTTTTACTGTTACATCGCCACCCATTTGCCTTTGTAGACCTTTGTAGATTTTGTAGACGTTGATGGATCTTAAGTTGTCTAAGTCCTGCTCCTATAGCACTGTTACATAGAAAACTCAATTCAGATTCTAACCGACGGCATGATACCATTGACTATTTGATTTCGGCTCTGCCGCTGGCATGGGGAAATGTAAATATGATACTCGTCTCGTCATATTTACCGAGGAATCGCGAAGGATCACATAGGAGACGCCTATTTTCTTTTTACGTAACAGCACTCTCTCGGGTTTACATTTGCGACCAACCTTCAAATTGATAGTCTGGAGAAAAGAAATACACCTGAGGATTTCTTGACCGTAAGACACACGTTATATCATGTACTTCTGTTGCCTGAATTGTGTCAAGTTACAGCGTCTGACTATTGCATGTGTAATTTGCAGTCGTTTTTAGGGCTTTTGGTGTTTTCTGGAAGATGGATGAGGGCGACGTATTTGATACAAATTTTGGAGTGTCGGACTTTTTTTGGGAGTGGAAGGGAGGCGGTAATGCTTACCCCGGGCGGTGCTGGGCTATGCTGCTCTTGCCTGGAGCCATCTTGAAATTCGGAATGATGGCTTCGCGCAATCTCAGCATACTACGAGACTTCAAGGCTATTGTAGCAAAACAGTATAGAAATGTGACAACGAAAAGAAAAAACAAACGAAATGTCACCAGGAAGACAAATATATGTCATTGTACTGAAGAAGATCTTCGTGATTAAAACATGCAGTACATTAGAAAACAATTTTAAATACTTGTTCCATTGGCCAGACAAACATTTTAGTCCCCCTATCACGTCCTGGACGAAATACGGCAATGACCAGTAACCCTATGTTTGTATGAATACACACGAAAGAGATCCCAGTTGCTATGCACGATGGATTGACTGCCGATTGCATTAACATTCGACATATTCTATTTGATGACCACTTTAACACTATACTTTCAATGGCAGCCCTCGATGCCCACAAATAAAGTCCTTCTCTTCGGCCTCGCATCCGTTGCACCAGAAATTTGCATGAACACGTTGGGCTAAAGTCGAAAGTCGTGTTTCCGGGGCCGGCGGCCGGCGATGAACGTCAATTTGGAGGTCAGGTTTTCATCGGCCACCATAAAGTTCAAAATAAATGGCGTGCAACGCATACTTGTCTGCTAAGGGGAGTGCACTGTAACACATAGCATGAGGTACTCCATATAAATCACAGGTTAAATCAGTGGTCATCGAGGGGAAGCAGAAAGACGAGAATATGAAACCTGGGTTCTGTTGTACATAACCAAACAAGTTAATTTTATTCAGAACGACTGAAATCACTGGCAAAAATTTAGTTATAATTGTGCTAATCGAAACGGATCAAGCCGTTTGATCTGTAACCCGATGAGAAAGATGGAGACTGTGTTTAGAATCTACCATCTCGATTTCATAAAATTTTGATATACCCAGCATCATGACCCACACTGTTAAGGCAAATAAAGAGATACCTCATATGCCAAAAACCATCTAATTGCGAATGCTGTAGTCTATGGAATAGAGATTTTGAAGTTGAAATCTTTGATTAAGGTACCACATTTTGATTGTATAGAATTTATCCAATGTCACACTGCTGCTAAGGGTGCCAAATCAATCTAAAGGGATAATATCAATGTGGAAATGTAACCCAGAATGTGTTTTGAAATTTCTTTCACTGCTGATGTAGAACACATTAAGTCACAAATCGTGTCTCATTCAGTTCTAACACAAATTAATTTCCTGGTACCTAGAGTGACATCTAAATATAAAGTTTCCTTTTTTGCAAGAGAACACAGACAATCTTGTATCCCAAACACTAATTAAACCTTAAGGCGCGTACTGACTTGAGCAAATTTGCGCGCACAGCGTTCGTGTCAATACCACCTAAAAATGTTTGTGCGTAAGCGCGTTCCCGCACGAATACTTTCCGTCACTTGTCGGCACATCAAAGGAAACGTGTGCTCAGTGTGGACGGTGTTTTTGTAGGAACGGTTGTTCGCGCACAGTCTTTTATAAAATATGCAGTGGAAACGTATTGCGTATAACTTAAAAGTGGAAGAGCATAAAGCGAAACAGAAAATGAATAGTCTTCTAGGGTCATTTCGTAGAGAAAAGGCAAAAGGAACAAAAAGTATTGGGACAGGCAAAGGTCAGTAAATATCCTGATTCTTTTGAAGGTATTTATAAAAATGCATTTTGAAGGTCCGCAAGATGTGTATGTATCGAAATGGTATGCATTTAAAAGAATGCACTACTTACTTGACAAAGATGAACCAAGAGAAACAATTGATACAGAGACAGAATGCGTGAGTATTTTATTATTTATATCGGATTTTTGTACAGGGTGAGTCACTACTGTGTCTCGGTTTATAATTCGTAAGAAATAAGTCGTGCTTCTTTAGGTGATTTTCGGGGAAACTTCTAATAGGGATTAGCGATGACATGTTTTCATTTGGTGTTTCTCTCCAATTGCCTGGTACAAATTGGCCATCTATATCAGTATCGAAGGTTCCCGTGGGATTATACAACGTCCGAGAGTGTCTATTTCTTCTTAAAAAGTTGTGAAGCAAAACAATAGTCATTACGACAAGTTCTGCCTTTTCGGGCTCTAAAAGCATAGGCTTTCGTAATATTCGAAATACGGCAGAAGAAATTCCAAAGACATTTTCTACAATTCTTCGGGCTCGGCTAAGACGATAATTGAATATTCTTTCCAGTGATCCTTTCCGATGGGTTCCTGAGAATGGCTTCATAATATGCTTACTCAACGGAAATGCTCTCCGAGAAATACATACTCCACCTCCTGATTCCTTCCTGGTAGACTTCTTGCTGTAGGAATCTTCAAGTCATTGCTCTGTAATCTTTTATATAGTGTACTGTGTTTAAACACGCCTCCATCAGAAATTCGACCCTGACAGCCTGCATCAGCAAATATAAAATTGTAATTTGCGTCAACTAAAGCGAATAATACAATACTACAGTGTGATTTATAGTTATAGTATTCGCTGCCGCTGTTTATTGGCGTTTGTAGCGCTACATGCTTTCCATCCATGGCGCCCAAGCAATTTGGAAAGTTCCACAACTCTTGATATTGTTCTGAAACTAATAACCATTTTCAGGAGTTGACGGCATCTGAAAAATTCATATAGTTTTAGATTTAACATTCAAATGAATAACTTTTTATAATTTTTAATTTTTCAGGTTATTGATGACGTACAGAATTCTGGGGAAAAAGATCTCGGACCGTTTGATAGTTCTCCCCAAAATTCTAATTTAGATGCAAGTGAAGGAAACAAAAGACGTCAAATTGACTTGCAATCCGAAAATGAACAGGATGTGAATGAAATGCCTCCAAAACCGAAAAAGGTCAAAGCAAAAAGTAAAAATGAAGATCCAAGATTGGAGGAAGCTTATCAAATTTTGAAAAAAGTGGCCGCACCTCAACCAGTCGTCACAGAAGATGAATTTGCAGTATATGGACAACATATAGCAAATAAACTGAGAGGTTACAGTAGAAGGACTCGAGTCGAAGTTGAACATGCTTTCAGTAGAATTCTATATGATGCTGATATCGGCAAATACGAGTGGGTTGCTCCACCAGTGCAGTTTGTTCCTCATACTATGCCACAACAACTTACAACACCTCTTCCAACAATGTATCCTCCTAATTCTACACACATTCTACCCCATCACGTTCTCCCTGTCTAACTCCTTACACAACTTATTCTTCCTCACAATCCCACTGCTCAACCCCTAACCCCACCTTAACGGAAATGGTAAATGTAGAGTTGGCTTATTCAGACTCACTTTGACGTGACGCATTCAACATTGTACGACATAATTACATTTTGGTTTATATATACGCATTTCAAGCTGTAGCATTCTAAGTTTAATAAATAAAATATTTAAGTATGTGTAACAAATTATCTAATTACCTTTACATAATCCTTCAGAACTTCAATAAGGGCCCGGCATGTTTCAGGAACAATAGAAGATATAAGCTGTTTTGAAACTTTGAAAAGATACTGCATACTTGTATATGAATCTCCCGTCGCTAAAAAGCGTAGAGTTATGGCAAGTCGCTCCTAACGGGAACGGCCATTCTCAATCTCGTATTCAGTTTCCTTATTTTGGGTCCGATCATATTAATTAGTAGCTCAAAATCCTGTGAAGACATACGGACAAAATTTTGAAACTGCCCGCTGATTTCTTGGAATTTCAAATCCGCTAACAATGTTGATCCACTATACATCTCTCTGCTTTTATACAACTGCGTACCCACCATCGCTTATCCCGTTTGTTCTTTCCGTTTACAAGAATGCATCACTATGTAGGCTGCACTTGCTATTATATTTGTTTGTTGTTGGACATTTTGACAACGCTATAAAAACGGAGCTGATCGGAAACTAATAAGCGGCTACTCTAGACGGAACATAAATTTTCGCACACAATTTACGCGCACATTCGTGCGCGCAAATTTGCTCAAGTCAGTACGCGCCTTTATGTGCAATAATGGACTAAAATCTGGAGTTTTTGTGATATCTTCTGTTGTTTATTTCAGGAATTACGAAGTGCTATACAGCGCGCATATCTTTGACTTTTTTTACCCTTTCTCTAGTCGTTTTCGTTTGTTATATATTTACCTATGTGTGAACATTACATGATAGCCATAGATAGCTACGAGTATATATATATAGAATGGAATAGACAAAAAAACAGATTCCATTTATGGCTGTGAAGAATCAAAATTTGAGATATATGTAAGTACTCTAACTTTTCGCAGTTAGTAAATGTGAGTAATGACGCTCAGTGCTTCACAGTTGCCTTTTTATTCATACAGTTGTGCATTTATGAAAAATGTGGCTCATTTCCTGGAATAAACTTTTGGACAGGTGTTTTTCTCTAACAAGAACTTTAATACTTGTGTAGTTCATCGAGTGTCCTGTTGTATTGACATGTGAAGCCAGAGCACATGTCTCAGGATTAAGTCTAGAATCACTTTTGTGTGATGTAATCCTTCCTTTTAGAGATCTGGAGTCTGACATATGTATATTTGATTGCAATTGATGGAGTACACTATGTTAGCTAAGCCCAGCAACGGGACTCTGTCTTTCATTTTTGAAAAAATACAGTTGATGGTGAGGACGGATTTGCAAGCAATTCGACAGTTCACGAGCTACATAGCCTGATCAGTTTAGGGGTCAGTTCCTTGATGTAGGATATATACAGGGTGACTTCGAAGTTGAGTCATTTATTTTAACAGTGAGTAGATCTGATCAAAAGAAATGTTTTTTTCCTTTAACCATTTTTCTGGTAAAATAAAGTAACAAAGTTATAGCCCTTTGGAAGTTTGAGTACCGCCCTGTCTCAATAATAATATCATGTACTCGTGTTTGGCAACAACGGATATAATCCGCCTTACCGGTTCATCGCATCGGAAACAAAAAAGCGAAAGAATTTGGAACGATGTTTTTGCAATGAAGTATTTATTCAGTTCAGTTATACATACAGTCAGTATCTGTCGGTTAGCGTGTTAATAGTGTCTGTTGCGTGGCTCAAACGAAATAAAAAATGGCACAATCGAGTGCAACCAACCCCTCGTGCCTTTGTTAATGTAGTACAACGGGCTCGTGAATCAGGTGACTTAAGACCTCACAGGGGA